ATATATATATATAAATAAATATATATATATGTATATATATATTAATTTTGTTTTTATATTTTTGGATTTCTATATATTTGTAACTGGTGGCCACGGCTTAAAGTTTATTCTAAACTTATTTTGGCCTCCTTCCACACACTTATTCTGTAATATACTTTTATTAAAGTATTTGGTTTTACTATTAAGCTTTTGTTATGTATGTTTTTATGTTTATGTGTGTGGAGAAATAAATTAAACCAACTAACAAACAAACAATGTATCTTCACAGTATTATCTCCTTGCAAAAAAAAATTTTTTTTTTAATATCATAGCTTTTAGAATCACCTCAAATAAGAATTCTGATGTTTAAAACTATGTTTTTATGGTCAAGATAATATACCATTTGTGACATAGTCAGATGATCAATAGGATAATATATAGGTCATTCAAGGTCATTTTATGTTAAATACCATATCAGAGGTCGTTATGATATCCATTTTAGGTCAAGGTGATTTTACAGCCAAATTAGAGATGGCCATAAAGACATATGTTTACTTTACATAATCAAATATTGACTTTACCAGTTGTGACATGGTCAAATGATTATTATAGTCATAAATAGGTTAATTAATGTCATTCAATTATGTTTCAGGTTAAATATTGTATGACATGTTAATAATGAACCTTTTAGAGTTTTAATAAAATAACTGACCAATCATAAGAGTGGACAATGGATGCGGAAAAAAACAAAACAATCTGTTCCATCAGTTGTCAAGATTCTAATAACAGTCCTAAATAATATAAATATATATTTAGACAAACAAACAAACATACATACGTACGTACGTACGTATGTATGTATGTTTGTTGTTGTGTATGTTTGTTTGTTTGTACGCACGTACGTACGTACATACAAACAAACAAACAAACATACACTACAACAAACGTACAAACAAACATACACAACAACAAACATACATACATACATACGTACGTACGTAACGTACAAACAAACAAACAACAACAAACAAACATACATACACGCTAACTTTCTTGTACTATCTTGGATGCTAAATTTAAATGAAACTTAAAACAAAAAAGGTATTGGACTACTCATTCAAATTTAGCAAAATACATTATCACTTTAACTTTGGATAAATTTTGCTTTGTACCTGACAGGTGCCTGAGTGTAAAATTAAAACATTTTAAAATTAAAACAATTTTTACGGATTCTTTGGTTTTACGGTTATTATTATTATTGTATATTTATATAGTGCATCTAAAACTCTATGCGCTTAATATTTCTAAATTAATTATTATTATTTATTTTACCATAATATCGAGTATGTTACATGCATAATATTGCAGTAGGTCTATATAATAAAAAAATATATGTATAATTTCTGGCTCTTTCGCTAAATACTCATCATCTAATGTACTTACAGTAGGGTTGGTTTTGTTATACATTCGAACACAAATAAATGGTGCACTACACCAGGATTAAGTTGGTTTGGCTTTCTATTTTTGATCGTGGATGTTAGAAATATGCATTCTCAAGAAAGATGCGTGATTCCTAACAGACTTTCAGTTGTAAATACTGTACAACCATAAAGTAGCAAAGATGCATTTCCAGGTATCTAGGGAAAAACATCAAGGGTTGGGGGGGGGGGAGAGCCCCTTAGAGTTTTTAGAACAAAAGTCTCATGCTTGCAAATTAGTCAAACTTGACATGTGTGATGTTTAGATACAACTGTGTGTAGTTAGGCGTGAGTTTGCTAGGGGCGACTTTGTTAGGGGTGTGTTTGTTGGGGAGGGGAGTCTGTTAGGGGTGAGTTTGTTACGGGGTGAAGTTAGTCTGGGGGAAAGTTTGTTAGGGGGTGAGTTTGTAAGGAGCAAGCTTGTAGGTAGGGGCGAATTTGTTAATTGGCGAATTTGTTAAGTGGCGAGTTTGTAACAGTAAGGGGTGAGCTTAATGTGGCAAGCATTTCATTGCAAATAGGTATGTTAGAAGAGTGATGTCACGCACTGCTATCGTTGTTGCGACGCCGATGCTGATTGTTTTGGTTTTGCATCTTGCATCCAGATTAGAAAAAAATCGTATTAAATCGTTTATTGGTTGCATTCGCTAAACTTTGAACTTATTTACAAAGTAAACAGGTCAAAGTTTACTTGCGCTATTTAAAAATATTTTTTTCATTGATCGGTCACAGAGTTACAGTGTACGGAACTTTTTCTTTGAAATAAAGCATCATTTACACATATTTTGTAAGCTCTGTAAATTTTAAAAACCATCCTGTAAGTTTAAGAATTATATATTTAATATCTATGCCAAGTATGAATTAGATCTGATGCTTCTCAACAATTTTTTTGATTTTCTCAAATCTTACGACTCTCGAGTCTGATGCATAAAAATGTCCGCTGATCGAAAGATGTGTACATTGGAGGATGATTCAAACGACATAATTGTTATTAAATTTACACATAAATTCTGTATTACTGATGAATATGTCCAATATAATCATTGCTTAGTATTATAT